ATAACAAACGAATATACCTAACAACCTACTAATTACTTATTTACGTTATTCGAAATGTTATCCTTAATTACCATATCCACAACCTTTCAGCCGTTGTACGCTCCGGCTTTCTTCAGGTGATTGGAATTTCGAACTGAACTCTTTATTTCGCTCACTGGGGTAGTCTGTTCTAGTTCCACGTGCCATGTTTAATGGATGTCAGTTATAAGTTATTTCCTGTTAATTCCCCTCTCCAATAATGTAAATAATGCAAGAAATCATAATACCTCTTCTCAAAGGCCGAAAAGTTGTGAATATGGCAATGTCCGATAATGTAAATAATGCAAGTCATCATATTATCTCACGTCAGAGATATAGAGGCCGAAACCTTGTGAATATTGTCAGAGATATAATAACGTCAGAGATATAGAGGCCGAAACCTTGTGAATATTCCAATGAAGATGAAGATAACGGTCCGAGTAACGTAAATAATGCAAGTAATCATAATACTTCATCTCAGATATATAAACAAAACTTATTAATTTTAACAAATTTTATATTTGCATTTTAAACATACACCCTTGTGCAAATTAATAATTCAGTTTTAATTTAACTTTTTTTTTTCGTATTTTCTAATGATGACCCAGTGCATATGTTAGTACTTCTTCCATTCCAATTGGCTAACTTGGCTAACAGTCTAACTCTCTGCCTTCGGGCGGAGAGGACCCCAGACGAGGCTCCACCGAATGGCAGAGTCTCGTTCGGGGTGGTTGATTGCTCCTGAACCCGTTTCTGCGGCTTCAAAGAGGGAATATTTTTGGCCGAGCCTACGGGCTCGGAGATCCTACGTTAAACCCGGCCTTGTACCACTTGTAACCCTCGTGGGTGGGGGTAGATAAATATAATTTCTTCCATTCCACGAAGTCGTTCCTTGCAGATTGACCACAGATTCTCAATTCGATTTAAATCAGGAGAGTTTCCGGGCCAGTCCATAGTGCTTGGATTTGCTCACTGGTAAGGCTTACCAGTGTATTCGTGCAGCGTTATAAATTTTCGTACGCTTACTTGGAGTAACGTCCATCGCAGACAATGGCCGTAGGACAACTAATCGACAGTCGTGACAATAGTATCTGGGCGTGATGCAATGACTGATAACGCAATATTTTTCAAGGTCAAAGAAATTTCGTCATACAGCCCGAAAATAGACTCATATTACTGCATACTATTTCAAATGACCTAATCTGAGGAAAAATTAGAAATCGATTACACCCTATCACCCAGGGGGTCAAAAAAACTGACCGTATGACGAAAGAAAGGAAACTGAAGTGGTTGTTTCAATTAATTTGCAGAAGTGGGTATTTTAGACATTTTATGAAGTTACAATATGCGTATGGAGCTAATGCACGTAGAATCGATTATCCAACATGGTGACTATGTTTTGGCTATTCACTCTGTTTCCTTAACCCTGTGTACTTTTCAAGTGACATTCTAAAATAGACCTGAGATGGAACAAATACATTGAGTCAATTGCTTCGTCCACCGCCAGGAAAGTTGGGTCCCTGTGCCGCGCCAGGAAACTTTTCTCCCCGGAATCGATCCTTCAGATCGACAAATCAACAATTCGCCCTTGCATGAAGTATTGCTGCCATGTATGGTCTGGAGCCCCTTCTGTTTGCCTCGGGGTTCTTGATAAGATCCAGAGGCGGATATGCAATATAATTGGCCCTGATCTGGCATCTCGTCTGCAGTTGCTCTCTCACAGACGCACCGTCGCCTCTCTCTGTCTGTTCTACAAATACTTTCATGGTAATTGCTCCGAGGAGCTGCATTCGCTGGTTCCCAGACTTCATGAATTCAAGCGCCCTACGAGGCTGGCATCCCGCTCTCGCTCTTTCACTGTTAAAACTACTAAATGTAGCCGTCTCTTCTACTCTAATAGCTTCATATCTCGCACCTCTCGCCTGTGGGACTCTCTTCACTATTCCTGATTCCCTGAGAGCTATAATCTCCAAATATTCAAATGTAATGTTAATCGACATCTCCGGTTGCCTTGATCTATCCACTATCCTTCTCCTCATCCGTTCCTCTATCACTTCTATCTGCTCTTGCTCCAAATCTTCTGTAAAACCTTGCGTCCTAGTGGCTTCCCGCCTTTCTTGGGGTGAAACGCTTAAAAAAATAATAATAAAATAAAAAAGATGGTGTTTGTCTCCCCAATTACCTGAAAAAGAGCGCTGAAATGCTTTAACTTCGAGAGGAAATGATTTAGCTTCAGAGGATAAAGACAGAAAACTGAAAGAATACTAAATTGCTAAAAGCATGTCTTGAAAAACAAATCAAATTTTATTAAGAAATTAAAAAAAAAAATATTTTCCACAAAAGTAGATATATAAAGAACCGCTGAAAATCCATGAATAGCCTTAAATATTCCGTAAAATATCTCCATTTTTGTTTTGGCTAGACCGACGCCATCTTATGTTGCCTACGAATTAAACGAACCAATCAGGTAGCAGCATTCGACTTGTCTCGAAATCACGCTAAATTAGGCAGAAGCTGTTACACGTCTTTAGGTAAAGACTTTCTATACATATTCTGTATTTTTTTTTTTTTTGGTTGAATGGAAAGTCATACTGCAGATTTAGAAATTTTATACATATGCGAATGCGTCAGCACCAAACGGAATTGTTTGATGCTAATGGTCTCCTAATATAAAACTAGTGAGTCATACATGGTAGAGCGTTACTATTAAAATTGTTATGAGGAATAGATTGCGTGATATAAATGAAATAGGAGGTGAAGATTATCAATTGAAAGTTTTCGTTTGTTTAACGTTGTTTCAATTTCTTTGGGCTCATTTAATTTTATTGTGAGCTTTGAAGTAATTAAAATATAATGTGTTATTTTGCTTTCACAGCTGAATACATGGTAGATGATACTCAGCTTTTGTGCATATACACATGTTTGTGTGGACATAATTACTATAGGTGGTGATATGTTTTTTTTCTTTTTATTTTGTTGCTTTGTTATATTTTTTAATACAGTTTGATTTCTTTAAGAAATTTTAGAATATTATATGGTTTAATGTAATGAAATAATTCTTTTACGTTGTTTGGTTGGTTGATTTTGTTTATCGGAATATAAACCTCTCTGGGTTATTTAATCCCGAAATTTAAGTATTTTGAACGCAACTTTATGTCGTCAAAAACAGATAAAATGTATTGTTTGTCATTTTGCCATGGAAACTATTGTTGGTAATTCTGTTATAAAATGTATTCTAAGTTATTTTACTTTAAAAAGTTATTGTTGGCCATTTTTAATATAAATATATAGTACTGGTAATTTTTTCTGTAAATATGTACTTTTATTGTTTCATAGTCTTCTATTTTTGTTTGAGGTTTTTACTATTTGCCCATAGGTGAGACCAAAACAGGTGCTACCATCTCGGATTCGTCTGAAGTTAAGAACAACAGAAATTAAGATGTGGTCCCATGCTCCTCAAAACCTCCAATATCAGAGGCCTTACTGCCTGAATTCTTTAAGCGTTTCACTCCAAACACTGACACGCGGGGGGTGGGTACAGAGAGTGAAAGTGTGAGAAAAGACGGTGTAGGTGGATTGAGAAAAGGAAAATGCCTGAGATCAAGGCAACAGAAAATGTCGATTGACGTGGCATCTAAATTTTTGAAGTTGAAATGTAGTTATCAGGGAAACACATAAGAGGAATGGAGTCCCTATATCGTGACGTGCGTGGAAAGAAACTGATGGATTAGAAGTGGCGGTTACATTTAACTACTTCAACGTGCGAGAAAAAAAACTGTTAGCATGGAAGTTCCCGCTACAGCTCAACTGTAACATGAGGAGACCTCGGGGCCAGTCTAGACCTGCCCTTAAATTCATAAAGTCTAAATACCATAGCGAAGAGCTCATCCAAGCAATTAACATGAAAGTATTTATTAAAAAAGATACAGAGAGGCAACCTTAGGGAGGTGGTTGTCTTAAGCCGAGCCGCCAGATCAGGACCAATAATATTGCTGATTCTTCCTTGGATTTTATCAAGGTGCCCCAGGTTAATAGCAGAGGCACCTGACCATATATGGCAGCGATATTCTAAGCACGTACGAATAGCAGACATAGATTTACAACAAAGATTCCGGAGAGGAAAATTGTTTCGGACGACAGAGTGAAACGACTTTCATAGTTCACCTGGCAATGGATTCAATGTAGTCTTTCTACTTCATGATAGCTGAGACCGTTAGCCGAGATGGGGCAACGCGTCACTTTCCTGGGGGGTTAGCATCAGCTATCCTGGTGGAAGGCAAAGAGAGGTCTCTTCTCAGATGATTAATGGAGAAAAGTTTAGTTTTTGGAGGCTTTAGAATTGACATGGCATCTTTTGTCCTGTTTAACGACGGTCTTCTGCTTGTTTTTTTTTTTTTTGTTTTGTTTTGTTTTTTTTTTTTCAGCGGCGAATTTGACCTTGTCGGACTGATCAGCCTTACTATTTAGGCAGGAGGAAATGGCTGTGTCCTCACCGTAGATGCCAAATGGAATGCTGATGTCATCGGGATGGTCGTTAATGCAAATTAAAAACAGCGTGGGACCAAAGATCGAACTCTGGGGGGGACACCAGCTTAAGTAGGAAAGCGTCTATACTATTGGTCGTGCAGTATAACTTTCATTTCACGATAGGAATGACAAGATCGGCTCAAAAAACTGCAGTTGATACTAGTAATAAAATGGCCGAGATTGGTATATTTATTTTATACAAGATCTGAAGTAGGCTTGTCCCAATCATGCCCCGGTGATATGGATTACGTTAACTCAACTCGGATATATTCTGGGATGTTATTAATATGAGCTTCTACATCGGTTGCAAAGTGTAATCTCAGACATGGGCAAATCTTGACGCAGTAATATCAGTGATTAACTTTCTCATCTCAGATGTCCTTTTTGCAGCCATATCATGCACATTATTTTCTTCGGAATTCTTCATAGATATTTTCATCTTGCTTTGAGAGGCTTAGGGTCATAACACTTATAAATACCGGTTCTCGTACAATCACCGAAATTAAGCAACGTTGATCCTGGACAATACATAGATGGGTGACCGCTTGGGAATACCAGGTGTACCGCACCTGGTATTCCCAAGCGGTCACCCATGTGATGTGTGAGTCGTGTTATGGATAACGGATCGGAATTTGTATTTATTATTATTATTATTATTATTTATGCTTATAGCTAAAATAATAATAATAATAATAATAATAATAATAATAATAATAATAATAATAATGATAGACTATTCAAAATGCATCACTGAAAAAAAACAGGATGTACGGTGGAGTAATGGATAGTGACTCCGATTAAGGAATCAGAGAGCCGTGTTCGAATTCCAGTTGAATCCATTACAATCTAACGTGCTAATACCCTTCTTCTCCCTAACCCCAGCTATGAGTAAATATCAGGATAGCCTGGCATGGCGATTGGTTTACTGCAGAAAGAAATGGCTACCTAATGCGGGAAAACAATCTGCCTCGTCAGTCATGTATCGAAAAGTACATGATCCTCCGAGCGTGTATCCCGCATAGCTCATAACTAAACTGATGCTCATTAGAAATCTTGGTTTCTTTTTTGTACTTTAAAAAAATTCTTTTGTATAAAAGAATTATTTTAAAATATTAAGAAAAAAGCATAATTTCTTTTCCCAAAAAGTTTGATTGAGTCACTTTGTTTGTACAGCACAGTAATCTTGAGAGAAAAAGTATGAATCTATCTGTTCTATCCCCTAGTTATGTAATTCGTTAATAGGAATTGTGTCAGTAAAATCATTATTATCTTCCCAAAATCTTATAATCTAGAAATAATTTCTGGCTTTAAATAAACTGCAAAAGGTAGATAATCCGTAAATAAATCAATCTTTATTTGTGTGCGGAAGAGCAATAAGATTAGTCGAACATTTAGTTTAAATAATTTGCAAACGATTGTGAATGATAGTCGCAGACGACAGCTCATTTATTATACGTGTTTTTCGTTAGCCTTGTGTTCATTAACGTTTTACATCTGAGTTGTTTAATATTGCTCAGCGTGTTTAATGTTTAATTCTGCTCAGCATGATCTACGATAGATATCAACGTATTATTCTCTTGACCGCTAGTGTCAATATAATACAAATTTTATCGATGCGATAATAGTCCCTACTTTCAAAGTTTTAGTAAAATCGATACATATTGAGAGGTTATCTATAAGCTTATATTAAGGTTATGTCAACTTTCATTAACCTAAAGACCTGTACGGTTCTTTAGTAAATTGTTCCGTCTTCGGAATTGCTTTCCTTTAGTTATTGAAGGAATGTTAACTTTGGATTTTCATTGTACTATTATTCTTAATAGGTTCACCACTATACTTTACTTATAGAAACCATCTTTTCAATATATTTGTCTTCTTGCAGTTAGACTCTAGCAAAAGAATATTATTCGAATCATCTAAGATAAGTTTTTCTTTCGTCTTTATTAACTGCGTTAATTTTGTTGTTAGCACAATGTTTGGGCAGAAAGATACTTCTGTCTTCTTCACATGCACAATCCGAAAAGATTAGGAAACATTTGGCATTCATTGATCAAGCAGCAAGTACTATGTTTGGTTGAAATTCATAAAATCTTTCTCTTAAAACAATTTATTATCAAAACAGGTTTCTCGAGTTCAGTAGCTGTTGTCGATCTTTCCAGTACTAATGAAAATTTCGTTCTTAACCATTTGTTTGAAGTGATGTAGAATGCTAACTTCTTGATTATGTTATTTCTTCTTCGGGTCTTTTTTTGCTATACATTTTAGTTATTGCCGCTGTTGTTAATCCTCAATTGAGGTGGTTTCTGTTATTTGGTACAGACTTTGTTTGGGATTCTGTAGCGGCAGTTCACAAGGATCTAAGAAGGAGGGTCTTTGAAAAGATCCTCAGACTTCAGTTGTTCAAAGGACCGACTGTATCAGGCTTAACTTATTGGGGATAAACTAAATCGATCTATATATAAACAACTATATCTGTTTGTCCGTCTCCTAATTCGATAAAAATAAAGACATACCTCTCTTATCATAATTTACATGCGTATTATTGTACTCATCTTGGTTGTTGTTGTCGCAACTATCCTCTGTTTGTCTTTTCGGATTGTGCACGTGATTCGGCCTAAACATTGTACGAATAACAAAATTAACGTAGTTAATGAAGACGAAAGAAAAAAAAATTGTATTAGGTGACCCATTTCATTATCTGGAGAACTTTAGCAAAGCTAATTTAGGTTCACAATTTTTAAAAATATGTCCTTTGACAAGACCCTCAGTCTTTACTCGCTGAAAGTCTTTTTTCACCATTGATCTCAGGAAGCCAAATTGCCAAATTACCTTCTAGTATTTCAAATATCTTGACTTGTAACATTCTAAATGCTCCACAGAAAATACAGCATAGATTAAAAGAAGATTTTTACAACATGCATTTTTTGTGTAAATGCGTGATTTAAATCTAAATTTAAAAACATACGAACAGAACTTTTACATCTTCTCTCCATATTTGACCAGTGCAGAATCTTTGAGGGATCAGGAAATTTATTGATTGGAACCTTACTGTAATGTCGCCAAAACATCACATTTTCCTGAGCTCAAAGAAAACGTCTCTGCAATTTTTCAAGACCTTTTTTCCGTCTTAACCGGACAGATATTGTGTCGTTGAAGGATTTGGCCGCTGAGGGGGTATCCCCACAAGAGAAATCAGACAAGGAATCACTACCAGAACAAATGGACCAACACGAATTTAGTTCTAACGAAGAATTTACACCTAAAAAAAAAACGTGTCCACTCTGCAATGGAAACTGCTATTTCAAATTCCGACGCAGATTGGCTTACAAATCGAAGAATATGTATACGCTTTAAGTCGAAGGTTTATACTTCAAAGCCGAGTAGGCAAGACAAACCTGGGACTCAGCTGAGATGAGTCAATATCAGAGGCAACTGTCGACTGTGAACCACCACGATTTCTTAAAACGACCCACAGGAACCCGAGTTGGTGAAATGACTTTGTCCCTACAAATAATCAGAGGGAGAGAATGTGTTATGGATTATCGCCCCTTATATGAATTCTGTATTGAAATAAGTTCAACTCGGACACACGCCATTCTAAACCGAATAGAGCTTCAGATAAGTAGTATTTGTGTCCATTTTTTCATTGCAGATGTGTACAAAAGGTCACGAATATTTTTCAATGTCTTGAAAGCAAAATGTAAATTTTTATCTATTTATTTTATTTTATCATAATGTTTATTATTCTCGTTGTATAGAACGCACTTCTTTCTCAAAAACTGAATATTGCTGTCACATCTAGACTTCTGCCTCTGTTAAGTATTTAGAGATTCTTGATAAAATATAAAAAAAAATCTGCTGTGGACATGAGTCCTAACCCTTCCTCCTCATGTTATCTAGAAATTTCTACGATGTCTTTGATTCGAGTTATAAGTGTGATTTTTTGTCTCATTTTTCTTAGATATTCATCGTTGGTCAGAAGTTCAGCACATTATATTCTCAGCATCCTTCTGTAGAACAACACATCTTTTTGCCTCAAGACGCTTCTTCATCTGTGAGAAGATTGTCCAACATTCACTGTCATATAGGAGGACTCTACTTAGCAGTTCAGTACTTTTTTCTTTGTTTCTAAAGAAGTTTTCTTGTTTCCTAATACTTTGCTTAGCTTTTAGAAAGCATCTTTCGCTTTCGGATCTCCGTGTCGCGTTTTTGATCCCCCGCTAAAACACTTTCCGAATACTTAGATTTATTTGTATTTTGATTTTTGTCGGATTTTCTCTTAAGGGCAATTTTGACAACGAAAGGTAAATGGCTAGTTTGATACGTAGTTTAATGCAAATGATTTTCGATTTGTGCTTCTTATTATCTGTTTATTGTTATACATTCCTGATGAATATCATTTCCGTTGAATTCACCACGCTATAGAATTTTCCTTCTCCTAGATGACTAGTTTCTAGATAAGTTTAGAGAGTGAGTAAGACTTATAACTTTTCAGTACAACCTTTATTTAACCGATAATTTGTTATTTTATGGCGTAAAGGATATCGCTTATGAATGAGAATTCGGAGAGCCGAGTTCGAATTAAAGTGGGGTTCGTTACTTATGCAAAAATACTCCTAGGAAAGATATCAAATACATCTATTCTTTTCCCTGCTGGATCCGTCTTTGGCAACCAGTCTACCACTGAAATTATAGGCAAATTACTACGGGAAAATCTTCTGCCTGGTCAGTCATGAGGCGAAAGGGATATGATCGGCTTAGCGTATTTAACTCACTAAGAGTAGGGTCAGGGATGAGAGCAAGCCATGACTTTCCTCATAAGGGAATTGATGCCAACGGAAGGCAAATGGCTGGGTTGATACGGAGTTTAGTGTACATGATTTTCGATTCGTGCTTATATTAAAGAATTCTCAACTGAAGCTGGTGAAATTGAGATTAAAAACAAGATAAGTTAGTATGAAATAGAAGATAGTCCAAGAATAGATCTTTAAAATATATTTTATTTTTTAAGACACGAAATCAATTCATTAGTAGTACGTGCTGAAATGTTCTCAGCTCGAACCACTTTTGCCAAAACCAAGATTTTAATGAGCAAATTCCGATTACAAATGTTATGAAGTGGTTAGGACCCAGAACCTTTTAGCACACCCACGTAAAGTATAAATAACATTCTTTGTTAGTAGAGAAAATTCCTAAATACGAGATTGCTTCTGAAACTTTAAGCGTGGTGGCTTGCTTCCACTTCATTTTGAAAGACCGGCTCACTATGATCAGAATAGATAAGCAACGTCGAGCCTGGTAAGTAACTAGATGGGTGACCGTTTGGAAATTCCAGCAGCTGTAAGTTTGGATGTAGGGGGCGTATAAATGGATTACGGTTACAGCAGGTTGAAACTTCCCGTACGATCGCGAAAGTTAAGCAACGTCGAGTATGGTCAGTATCTAAATGGCTGACCATCTGGAAATGCTTTGTACTGTAAGGTTGGCTGTGTTGGTGGTATGACTTACAGCCATATCATGTTGAAACACGTACGATCACCGAAGTTAAGCAACGTCGAGCCT